AATGTTGAGTTAATTCACATGATGATAAGTGAATGATGGGGTTGTGAAAAAAATCCCACATTAGGGAAATAGAAGAACAGTAAGTAGTTTAAATACGTAAAAACTCATGAGCCTGGAATAGACTTGTATTTTGGTTACAAATATGGAGGTAATCCTTTTCTATCTTTGTACTTATTACTCCACTCATATAACTTTATTTAATTCGTGACTCTTTAGTGGGAAGGAGACTATATATTACAGCCTACTAGGGCCATGGATAACTGGGTAAATTTTCTTGGCATTAACTAATAAGAGAGATCATTTTATATACTCTTTTTCTTTTCTTTTTTTTATAAAAATATTAGAGTTACAATATCATGTAGAACTATAAACTTATAATAATGATATATCATTAAATAAGTTAATGTATACAATATTATGAGTGAATCCTCTAGTGAAAAAGCTCAATTATGTAACAACACATCATAATATAAGCTTACAATGTCACATGACATTGTAATTAAACCATTTTTGTTTTCTGTTTTATGTAGAGGTTTTTTCTTTTTTGAACTAAAATTAAAATATGTAGAGGTTTTTAAAGGGTATTTAAATAAATTTACAAGCAATTCTACACTTTTTTTTTTCTTGCATGTCGTCATAAAAAACACTTTAAATAGAAGAAAAAAAAATTTAGACCATGGTAAACTGTAAAATAATTTTCAATATTTTATATACGGCTTGAAAGCATGCATGTAAAATAGGCTATGTGAATTCTGGTAGTGATGGGTCAAAACTGGGCTCAGTAAAACAAAGATTTATACTTGTTATGGATCCAATTCCATACTACGATAAGTAACCCAGAGAGGGCCCATCATATGTGGGCGAGGTTAGGACAGGAGGTAGGGCACACCCTAAGACCTCACGAGAAAGCTTACGACGAGAACGAGGGGGGCTTTTAACGCGGTCTTGGAGTCACGAGTGCGCCACCCCATCCTCCTCGATCCACGTGTTCCCTTCACAAGAGGCAATTCTGTTCTGGGATTTAGCTACCCTGCCACTGCCAGCTCACTTAGATATTTTTTTAAGAATATGATTTACTCTCACAAAAATTTTATTTATTAAATTTATATAAAATTTTACTTATTTATCTTTTTATTTTCAATTATTAAAATTTATTTATTTTTTTATATTTATTAAAGATAATTATTATTTTTTAAAAATATAATAAATCTAAATTATTAAAAATAAAAAAATTAATTATTAAAATTTTATATAAATATAATATATATAACTTGTATATAAGTGAACTTTTATTTTTTCTTAATATCAATTTAATATATTAACAAAATAATACTATAGAAAACAACTAACTAATAACTACATAAATAGTTTAATGATAAATTTAAAAAAATAAAAAGAGATTTTAACTTTAAATTGTATAGTATATAAATAAAATGACTAAAAAATGAAAGAAACTTACCTCTGATTATACAATTAAAATCAATAAAAGAAACAATATAGAAAACTATTGACTAACAACTACATAAGTAGCTTAGTGATAAGTTTTCTTTAAGAGAAAGTAAGAGATTTTCAATTTAAGTCGTATAACATATAAATAAAATGACTTAAGAGATGAGATAAACTTACCTCTAATTATACAACAAAAATCAATAAAAATTAAAGCAAGATAATATCAAAATTGTCCATTTTGTTATTGATAAAAAATGTTTCATTTCATAGATATCATTATTTTATATAAATTATACGTATAATTTGAATTCAATTTAAATTATACCAAACAACACCAATATCACCAAACTCTCTCCTGTTTAATGGTTTAAATTGTGCCTTCTAACTTGCATAACACATTTTTAATATAGTTTTGTAATAACATCTAATAAGCATAAAAATAATTAATGCCAAAAGAATTAATTTTCATAGACATAAAAGACAAATTCATAATGTCATTAAAAATTATTACAACTACAATACCAAATTAAAAAAATATATATATATATCTTTTAAACAAACAAATAATCCAAGAGTAACCACAGTATCAGTCATCATCATAGACATAACCAAAGTATGAGATAAACACAAAGATCACAATTTTTAAGCAACCATTTAAAGAAAAGCCGGGGATCTAAAGAAATGAGCACTTTTTTTTTGGTTTGTCATTTACGTCCAATCACAGTCATAAGATCGATGAAACCTAACTTTGACACTGTTGTAAACACACTCCCTCTTTCTATGATTGATAATAAGTAATTAATTAAAATTAAAATTAAAGAATGCTGTTTTTTAGTCCATGTTGCACTTAAAATATCCGTTTAGGCTTTAGGGTGAGAAAAGACAAAAACACCATTAATGAATCTTCATGCTTATTTTTTTTTTTTTCCAAACCTTAAGTGATGTTCATAAATGCACTAGTTGCACAACAAAATATCAAAAAACATTTCCGGTAAACTTAACATTTTTAAAACTAGACGTTATAACCAATTACCAAAAAACCAAAAAAACAAAAAAAAACTAACATCAAGCGACTTAATTATAAAGAGAGCGTAGCACTCTAAATCAATTATTTCCCAAAACATATCATTTATGTTATGATATCCCACCCAAGGAAACAATCTTCTTTTTAAAAAAAATGTAAATAGTTATAAGGATAAAAATATAAGCATACCATCAATCAATCAAAGATAATATGACACTTTCTCTCCATCAATCTTTAAAAGTAGGAACTTATAACCTCTAATTTAAAAACTTAAACTCTTAATCATTCAAATATTGCGTAACTACTAAAAACTTTCCTAATTGTAATTGTAACTCTTATCTCTCTCTCTAAAATTTCCCATGCTCGAAAGAGAAATAATTAAATAAATATAAGGCCCTATGGTTTCTCAGATACTTGTATGTCAAGTGGAATGGGTACCATATGTAACTAATGTACTATGATTCTTGTGACCTGTCCACTAGATGACCACAAAGATCAAATCAACAGAACAAAAACCAAAAGTGAAAATAATCCCGTGAGCTAGCTAGGATGATCATCATAATGCTTGATTGTTCTCATTTTCCTACGTCATTTTGGTCAACTTGTTCCTTTTAAAACATGGAAGATGATTTACATGAAATTTGATTTTTTTTTTTTATTTGTCAAATATTGTGTTAAGTGACTGAGACACATGGATGAGGAGAAAAACTGAAAGAAGAATGCAAGAGTAGAACCACTCACATAATCAACAGAATGTTGTAGCATTAAAAATGATAGACTAGATTGCCAAGTTTTGGTTCTTTTTGTTTAGTCCCATCCTTCCAGTTCCACCATCCTGGTCCTGCATTTGCAGCAAGTTTTGCCAAACAAACAAAACATAAAATTAGCTTTGCCAAGCGGGCTCTAAGTTGAGAATATGTAATATCAAGACATTTAAATTTAAGGAAACTTTGAAATATTGAACTAAATCAGGCAGAACTTTGAAAAAAAGAAAGAAATCTTAACTTGAATTCTTATCTTTGGCTACCAACTTTTTTGAATTCAAATGCAGAAGTGGCATGATGAAATAATTGGATAACTTCTGCCTTCACTGTAATCTGGCTTTGTCCCTTGAGTGTAGTCCTGTTGCATTGACAAAGTGGCCTACAAGACAAAAACCCCACATACATCGTGGTAAAAAGGAATTTTGCATCCTAACATAAAAGAGACTTTTCATCTCAAATTCTCAATTTTGTTTGAAAAGCAGTCAGCAAATAAATTGTGATTAAGAAGAATGCAAATGTCTCCCTGTACTATTAACTTTATAAAGTTGAATAATCTAGCTCACCATGGTGATGAGGCTGCCAAATCATCTTTCCTTAATTCCTTTGGGAATCTGCTATGCTAGGTCCAACTAAGATCGGCAGGAAACCAGAAATCCTGGAAGTGCCACGGAAAATGATAAGAATTGCATCATTAAGTTTGGCAAAGTCACGCAATTGTTAAGGTTATAATTTATTTGTCTGACTCAAAGCAATGAAACAGTCCACAAGAATGATTCAGACAGATGGAACAGGCAGAAAATCAGAAATTATCTCCACCCTCAATCAAATCATGACATAATCCATTTGAAAAATAATTAAAAAAAGAAAAAACACTATATCAAATCTTTGGATGTTCCTGCATTCCCCCATAACAAGACTGAGGTATATTTGCAGGAAGTAGCAGTAAGGCAGATTTCTTCCAAAGAATTTGTTCCCAAAAACAAACAAAGAAGGATTTAGTTCACATACATTAAAAAAATGCAGGGAACATCAATGTATATTTCCATAGCATTGTAAAACCAAAAAAGGCTCCCAAACAAAAGAGGTTAAACAACTTGTCCATCATGTGAGAAGAATCTTTTAATAGATGTCAAAATGAAGTAGAGAACTATTAGCAAAGCAAATTTTGGGCCACATTTTAAATTACAATTTTATTCAAATTAGGCTCCTAGCTAACATCTAGAATAAGAAGTTGGACAAGAAAATTTATACAGGTAAAAGGGGTCATTCAATCACAACCTTGTGAGCCTACCTAAACCTTATTCTAAGCACCAAATAAGACCAACAGATGTATGACTTGGAATTGCCAACTTAGCTTTGATCTCCGCTATCCTGCTGTTGACTCTTCTAAGAAGTGATGTGTCAATATCAGACAACTAACCAGTATTCTAGTCCAACAGTTTGGCATTTTAACCAGAATCTTGTCATAGATTTATAGAATTCTACCGTCAAAGATGACAAGTCTATTCTTTTGACACACATAATTCTCCAAAAAATCAAAGACCAGGAAGGACTCCGCTGTCCATTAGGAGCTTTTCCCCAACGCCTACCTATTTTGAAGTCTGAGTTTTAAAACTCTTCTCCGTAAAGACTACGTTTCTTGATGGTGGAAAAAGGAATAAATAAAAGGAAAAGAAAATGTCTTCATGCATTGCATGTGGAATGTATGCTAGAATTAAAATATCATGCAACACGGTAGAGGATCTCAGCTAGATGTGTGTCAAATTATTATTATTATTGTTATTATTATTATTATTATTATTATTATTATTTATCTTCTATCTATTTTCAGCTAGATGCACAACACATTCGGCAGATATGGACTAACATGGTTCATTTTGCAAATATTCTTAAAACTTACCTTTAGCTTAACAGAATGGCTATTCCAAGGTTATAGATAAAATAGAGGGAGCATATGACAAAGCAAAAGGAAGAGGTGTGACTACCAATTACACTATGCCTTGGCTATGACTTAGTACTCTTCATAAGTTCATTATTTCCAAGATTGCTATTTTGATAATGTAATAACCATTCGATTAGTGAGGTAGCAAAACATAGAGGGCTATATCCTACCCCTTTGAAAACCACTTCCATCTCTCTATATAGGTGTTTCATTTAAACAAACAAAAAAAAAAAAAAAGAAAAGAAAAGTGAAATGAATTTATCAAGCATCTGTTATATCGAATTGGCCCCAGATGTACCCACTTGTTCAAGTTCAATATACATGACAAATAAAACCAATCTAATCACTCTCAAGGACAAGGTAACTGACAAGATATGGAAATTTTAGTTATCAAATTTGATTAGTACACCATCACGATAAATAATAATGTGAGCATCAATAATGAACAATCATTTTTCCTTGTCATCTTCAATCATTTAGACATAAGACATGATTCTATATCTGATTTCTTCAATAAAAACATAGAGAATTTTGCATCTCTAACTAAACAGAACAAAGTATTTCTTACTCCTTTGGAGAACAATAAGCCCGCATATTACAAGTCTCAAATAAAATGTCTGACAGTCTGTCCTGCAACTCAGCACCTCTCACTTTCCAGAAGGCACTCTGCTACCACACTGTTTGAACACACATTAACCACCATTCAACAATGCACTAAACAACAAAGAATCTTGATCAACATTTTCCACACGGTTATCACTAACTGACATCAAGAGAAATAATAAACTAAGCAATGACAACCACAATACAGCACCTCCACCGATTAGGTAATCAAAATAAGCCACTAGGTAATCAAATGATGAATGCTTAAAATACTTTATAAACATCATTATCATAAGAAAGTATTCATGTAAAGTTGAAACCCTCAATTGAAAAGGAAAAAAATTTAAATTTCACACACACAGTTGCCAATAGAAAAAAAAAAAAAAAAAAAAAAGGAGGGAAACCCTCAATTACAAAGATCAGTTTCAGACTAAGAATTCACAAAAAAAAAAAAAAACTTATTTCAATCAATTGATTAATGGAATGCACTCGATATATCAGGAACTACTAGATGATAATATCAAATCTATAGTTTGAAATGGTATCTGCCTATTGCGTAACCTAGACGCTGTAGCCTGAGTTATGCAGTGTTAAACATGATAATAAGTAGTGCAAGGGAGCAAGAAATGGACAACTGAAAGCTAAAGGAAAGCATCACTCACCGGAATCAAGCCATTGATGTGCTGCAGCGATTTTTGCAGACGGGGAAATCTGAATACAGAATACCTGTACCTACGGACGGCGGGCTTCCGCTTGTGTTCCCTTTGGGCCTTCAACGCCGAAACTTCGTTTTAGGTGCAGGAGGTTTGAGACCAACCCAATGTTGTTTGTGGGTTATTTTACTATTGTTTAGACCTTGTGTTGGGCCTGGAATGTGATGTGAGCTTCCATGCATACAACATTCACGCAAGTCCAATATATTGCGATCTTTGTCCGACTCACCTTGCATTCATCACACACATATGGTTGGGTAAAAATAAGAGTTTTTTGTATTGTAAACCTGATAAAATTGGATTCAATAAATATTCCACTTAACATACTTATTACGGGTTGAATCATGAGTTTAAAGTATTAATTTAGAATTTAATATGATTCAAATCAAAATTATCCAAATTCAATGAGTTAAGTTAGTGTTCAGATCCAATTAAAATTAATTAATTTTTTAAATTTAAAATTTTAATTAATTATACTTCAATTTTAATTTTAAATGTAAAATAAAATTAAATAATATAAAATAGTTATTATTTATTAGATTATTAGAGTTAATATTAATTTAATAAGTTTTTATTAAACAATTAATTAATATTAAAATTTTAAAACAAATTAGAGAAAATATTAAAAAATTTTAATTTTAATTTTAATCTTTTAAAAAATTAAGTCCACTCAATTCAATTCTAAATTTATATGGGTGAATCATGAATTTGTCCCTTTAATTTAAAATCTAAAATAACTCAAGACTATAAACTTAAAATTTAAGGTGACTCAATCTAAACTCACCTAATCTAACTTATTTATTAAGTTAGTGTTTTAAGTTATAAGGTTTCTAGGTTGTGTAGATTTAGATTTCAAAGTGTATTTTAACTAAGGTTGTTACATTGTGAAGGCGACATACTTGTATAAATAATTTTTATTGCATCTATGAATTAAAGAAGTTAAAGTTCATTTGAAGGTGTGAATCCTTCTAACAAAAAAAAAGAAGTAACTTTTCCTACCTACACCTCATATTTTATATATTTTTTGTATTTTAATTCATTGATAATTTTATAAATTATTATCACGTTATTGTTTTTGTGGGTAAGGAATAACAATGAGAAGATGATATAGGCAGAAATGGCTCAAAGAACATGTAAGAGTTATGTATGTGATTACTCCTACGTTGTTAATTTAAAAAAAAAAAATTATAAAAGTATTGTGCATATTTATAATTACTAAAATATATACAAAATATTTTTTTTTATCAACAAAAATATACACAAGATATGGGGGTTGTTTGGTATGGTAGTAGAAATCTAATGGTTAGTACATAGCAGATAGTAAGTAGTGGATGACAAGTAACGAATAATGATAGCAGATAATTAGTAAAAAATAGTCGATATTATTGATATATTTTTTTTGAACAAGATATTATTGATAGTTTGATTATATAACAATTAGTGATTGTTGTTTAATATCAAATGACAAATAAGGACAAACTTAAAAAATAGTTAATTTTATTTTTTAAAATTTTTATACGTAAAAGAATTTTATCATTATTGTTATTGTTGTTTGCTATTATTATTATTATTATTATTATTATTATTCATAAATAAAACATTTCTTTGTTA